GCGAAGTATGTATGTAGGAATGCGTTATATGCTGATTCGCTAGGAGCACAGATGCGATGCACCCGACTGAAACTGGATCTAAAACGAATGAAGGTTGGATTCTCGTTGACTAGCCGAGTCGAGCTCAGATTAGGTGAGAATAAAAAGAAGCAATAAAAGAGGAGCAAGACAAGCCTAATTTTCTAGTTCTTTCTGGGCCATGTTGTCAAAAAGATACTAATTCATACAGATGAAAAATGTATGTGCATACATACACCTCCATATATATAAATATACAATATTCATATGACAGATATGGGAGCGCATAAATAAGTGTAGGCAACATGCAAATACAGCCAAAAAGCCTAGGTACATAGATAATACAATAGTCTCAATGCACACGTATAGGCTACTGAGCAACGACGAAGGCAGAAATTCGGAAAGAGCAGAAGAGCAAATATTTTAGCGTTCATAAACTCCACTAAATGCACAAATATGCAAACAATTATGACACAGCATACAAAGCAGAAAAAAACTCAAAGGAAATTGGTGCTAGTGGGATGAAGAGTCGCGAGAAGAAGACAAAGATACATTGGATTTCGTTTTAGGATAATATCAATTATACGTATTTGGCAAGAGGGTAGGGTGAGAGTAAAGTATGAATATCTTAGATCTGACAATTATAAAAAAGGAGAGATCGACTAGTTATGTACAGGTTGAGAAGATAAAGAAGGCTCGAGGGAAAAGAAGTTAGATGAGAAGATTTGATATAAAGAAATTCAATGAGTCGGAAAGCAAGCCCGAGTTGGATAGTAGGATAAGAAGCAAGATGTGGCGATGCTATATGGGAATAGACAGACAAACATAAGTAGGGTTTACGCATAGAATAGAAAAGCTGAGTCAGTTACTGAACCTCTAAGAGTAAAGATTGACCTTCACGGAAGGAAAAAAGCCTCAAAGACTCTACAGAAGAAAGTAGAGGAAGAATGGGCTTGGGACGAGATTGTTAATGGCCACTAAGGTCCTGGTTCTTGGCTCGAGTGTATACGGCTATTGATTAAGGTGAATTTTAAGGTCAGAGAAATTCATGAATGTATATATCAACAGAATAATAATAGGGACATGAGGTTGGTGACTCGTTGCCTGCGGTTGTAAGAGAAGCAAAGTTCGGAGTCGAAAGGTCTGTCCCTGAGTCAGAAGAAAGTAGACAGTTTCTGACTTCAGCTCAGCTTACAATGATGTGAAAAGCAAAATTGAAAGAGGCGTTGTAAGGGGATGAATAAAGCGGATTAGAATAGAGAGATTCTGGTGAACAAGACTGGCGAAAGGATGGCTGGAGAAGTATTGAAAGAGATTAGTGAGGAAGCGCATGGATAAAGTGGGGCACTACAGAGTATGGGCCTGAGAGTAAAAGGCAAGAAGAGCAAACGATGAGGATATTTGTATGATAGGTAGTTATAAAGGTAGCTATGCAGATTTAAAAGCCTTAATGAAATAGATCATCCGGAAGGAATAGATGCACATATAGCATGTTCAAAGTAGTGCGCAGTTCTCCGGCGTCAAAGTCATATGGACCAGTCAACACAGTTCCGTCCATACAAAAACATACACACATTTGAATACAAACACATACGCACACACATCGGGGGATTCCTAGACTAGAGGCAAGAAAATCGAGGGCATCGTTATTGAGGTGTGAGTGAAGATGCGGTCTCGGGGTCACAAGGCCTGTCAGGCTAGCAGGGTGATGCCAGAGTAAGTTGGCAGATAGGATGAATGTTAAGGCTAAGGGTCATTTGTTAGTCGGACTGCTCGGTCCGACCTCCGGACAGAGTGAGCCTGGCGGTGCGAAAATGGGTCGCCGACCCAACAGCCGAGGCGATAGCAGCTGCCAGTCCGCCACCAGCCTTGGCGCCACTAGAAAGACCGAGTCCGGCAGAATTTGAGACCTGCCGGCTGATGCTGCTGCCGCTGTTGATGCAGCTGCTGGGACTAGACTGAGTTTTGGAGGGAATGTGCTCGTCCTCAGAGGCCGCTGCAAGAATATGCTCATTTCCGGATGCGATAAGTGATGCAGCACGAGAGCACTCCTAAAAATGGTAAATGAGAGCAGTGACGAAAGTCAAGTGATGGAGAGAGTAGAAAAGGAATGCTAGGGCAAATTTTGTAAATACAATATTAAAATATCACTTTAAATGACAACTATGAAGGGATGATAATCGAAATTCGATAGATTTAGAATTATTTTTTCAAAGCTCTGACACTAAACATCCACTTATTTAGATAGACGTGCTTATCTCTAGCTTAGCTATGCAGAAGGGTAGATTTGTTTAAAAGAGCTTTCATCCAATGAAAAAAGAACACTCCCATTAATTAATATAAGGAAAGCTACCGAAGAGAACATAACAGTTATGCGGTGCTCGCTTGAGTGCTTATTTCTCCTAAATAAACCAGATCTGGAGCATAGAATCCACCATAAAAATCCCATTTTGAATAGCCTATCAACTAATATTTAGGTGCTAGCTCATCGGTCTGGAGCCTGGATAAGTTGAAAGCTGAGAGTCTGTCATAAAGTAATCTCGAGTGCATAAAGACAGGTTTTTAGTCGGAGGAACAAATCGGTCAGAAGTAGAATGATGTAAAAGTTTAAATTAAAAAAAATTACCTATATAGTGATCCCCTAGAAAATTGGATTTAATTTTAACAATTTTTTACATTTGCTACAGTAACGTTAGTCTGAAATTAGAAAACTGCTTTTTGTCCGTAAATGGTAATCAGTAAATTTAGCTTAAGTGAAGATATCTTTTGCTCGAGTCAAGAAACCTAAATACGGTCCGGGCAGGGTAGAATGAAGTGTTTTCCAGAAATGAGTGCAATAGCGAAATTGAACTAGTGCTAGTCTAACGTTCTGAAATGCCCCTAGCATTACAAGAATTTGTAAATTTTTGAATACTGCTGATTTTATATCTCTAAATGGAAAGACTGGTAGGAAGATAGTCGCAAGCAGGACCGCAACAAGAAACAAAAAGAGATAGGATGAAAATGCAACGGGCTATGATTATTAGAGAAATCAAGAAAAGCTGAGGCAAGCCAGGTGACAAAGAATCAGGGAAACAGCCGGCAGTAGATCATAGCAGGCTTCCAATGACTGGTTTGAGTGTCGCAAAGCCGTTACAAGTCTTCAAGAGTGCGATTTGAAGGGAAATAATGATTACTCCTCGATGAATAAAGGAATTAAAGAAGCACAAAACGCAGAGCAACGAAGAGAACATTAACTTCATAGGAAACTGGTTAACCATATGCTAAAATACTTAGTTGATCTCTACTATCAAGTATAAGATAACTGGTGGATTGTAGGTGTGGATAAATGAGAGTTACAGGTGTTAAAGGCTTATAAGGAATTAAAAAAGGGCTATATTTAATAAAATAAGTAGAAAACTGGTTTATGACAGAGCAGAGCTAAGTTAATGACAAAATCAAGCCTTATAATAAATTCTACGCAGGTATTATAACAAAATGTACATAACGCCATATAAAAAAGCATTATCCTATCAAAATAGTGAAGCTGTTAAGACCGGGGTCACAACGCTTAAGTTCCGTGTTCAGAAGCCGTACCATTTGGGTACACCGAGGAAGCCTAGTCTCGATGAATAAAGCCAGAGAGAACGCTCGAAAAAACACAAACTATTTACAATTGGTCAAAGGATCGACTTCACTTGCCTCTTTGACGAGTTGTGGTGTGGTGCTAAGACTGCCAAGGCTCATTGACGATGCTGGCTAAACCTCTGAGAATTTATCAAGTCCATGGTCCGAATCTGTAAATGACCATGCATACTATACACTCCAAACGAGTTGTGTTCCCCTAGGTCTTCCTGTCAACATAACCAGGTTACGAAAACAAGGTCAGACGACTTCTATACAACGAAAGAAGACCCCAACAATTCTAAAGGCCATACCATCTTGACCTTTATAACTTCGATTAAAAAATACTGAGCCTGATTAAATATGCGTCAAAGTGTGCTTGTGTGAATGTGCCCAAAAATGTGTGGATGGGCAACGAATCGCCCTTGTTCGGAAATAGAACAGTAAAGAGGTGATTTTTGAACTGAAAGTCCAATAAGGAAAAGTTCTATAGGCACCAAAGTACTATCAAGCTAGGTATGCAAATAACTGCCTAAAAAATCATCAATAGTCATCCGATAAGGCTAGCCTAGGAAGTTCTTCTTCAAATGTCTTTACATGAAATACGAGCAGAATACATGTCCGTAAGATAAAAATAATTGTGTAAATCGTTTATAGTTTGCTCAAATAAAGCACAAAACGGATTTTTACTGTCATCATAACACAAGCAATGACCAAGAGTTCTCACCAAATTTTAGATTGACCTCACTCGATATGATTAGGGCAAAGGGGTGAACAAAAATCGATTTCAGTAAAACAATAAAAAAGACTATGTTCTACACTCAATGAA